GGGGGGGGGGGTTGATTTGGGGGTTGTGTGTGTGTGTGTGTGTGTTAAGTTTTTTGAGTTCTTTATATATTCTGGAGATTAATGCTGTATCTGAGATGCAGACGTCAAAGATATTTTCCCATTCTGTAGGCTCTCTCCTCATGCTCTTCGTTGTTTCCTTTGCTATGAAGAAACTTTTTAGTTTGATAACATCCCATTTATTGGTTCTTAATTTTGCTTCCTGTGCTTTAGGATTCTTATTGAGGAATTTGGTTCCTAAGCTGATATGATGGAGCTTTGGGCCTACTTTTTATTCTAGTAGGTGCATGGTCTCTGGTCTAATGCCTAGATACTGGATCCACTTTGAGTCAAGTTTTGTGATTTAATTTCATTAGAGGTTTAATTTCATTTTGCTACATATGGATTTCCAGTTTTCTCAGCATTATTTGTTGAAAGGATTATCTTTTCTCCAATGTATGTTTATGATGCCTTTGTCTAGTACAAGATAACTATATTTATGTGAGTTTGTCTCTGTATCTTCTAGTCTGTTCCATTGGTCTTCTTGTCTGTTTTGTTAGCAATACCATGCTGTTTTATTACTATAGCTTTGTAGTGTAATTTAAGGGATGGTGTTATAATGCCTCTCACTTCACTTATGTTACTGAGGATTGCTTTGGCTATTCTGGGCCTCTTATTTTTCCAGGTGAATTTTGTGGCTGCTTTCTATTTCTATGAAGAACTACATTGGAATTTTAATAGGAACTGCATTAAATCTGTATAGTGCTTTTGAAAATATGGCCATTTTGACAATGTTAATTCTGCCTATCCAAGAACATAGGAGATCTTTCCATCTTCTAAGGTCTTCTTCAATTTCTTTCTTTAGTTTCTATAGTTTTTATTGTACAGGTTTGTTAGATTGATTTCCAAATTTTTTTAGGTTATTGTGAATGGGATAGTTTTCCTAATTTCTCCTTCAGTTGACTTATCAGTGACTTATAGGAATACAATTGATTTATGGGTGTTAATTTTATAACCTGCTACTTTACTGAATTTATTTATGAGTTCTAGAAGTTTTTTGATAAGAGTTTTGGGGGGTCTTCTAAATATGGAATTATGTTCTTAGCAAATAGGGGTAGTTTAAGTTCTTCTTTTCCTATTTGTATCCCTTTAATTTCTTTCTTCTGTTTAATTGCTCTGGGTAGAGTTTCCAGGACTATGTTGAATAGAAGTGGTGAAAGAGGGTATCCATGTCTTCTTCCAGTTTTGAGAGGGAATGCCTTCAGTTTTTCTCCATTTAGAAAAATGTTGGCCTTGGGTTTAGCATATATAGCTTTTACACTGTTGAGGCATGTTCCTACKGTTCCTAGTTTTTCCTAGTGTTTTGAGCATGAATGGATGCTGTATTTTGTGAAATGCTCTTTATGCATCCCTTGAAATAATCATGTGGTTCTTATCTTTAAGTCTATTGATGTGGTGAATTACATTTATTGATTTCCATATGTTGTACCAACCTTGCACCCTGTTGAGCATAATTTAAATGACAAGAATAATCGAAGCTTGGAAACTATAGCTACATTTCACTAAAGACAACATAAAATTTTTGGTGCCTAATTATAAGCAAGAGCATTTTTGTAAGGTTACTTACAAAAAAGCAATATAGGGATATAACTATTTCCCTTAATATACTTTAGAAATGTATGGCTTATTATTTTTGCCTCTACTATAATGTATATTCTGCAAATGTTTTTTTTAATGCTGAGCCAATAGCAACCTTATGGAATGCTAAAGAYTGAAATGAAACATAATCCAGAGGGAAGAAAACAGCCAGAATATATGAAAAAGGCAGATTAACATTGTAAAAACTACTCAAAAACAACAGAGGAAATTATCAGGCAAATAATTACACGGCAAACTACAGACAGGATAAACAACCAAATCAAAGAAAAAATGCTTCAGAGACAAGATTATTAAAAAACAGATGAAAAATTAAAGTCTTCTAAGCTCCAGAAATGAATGAAAAATAAAAATAAGAGAAAATTCAAATGAGGGGGGGAAAGCAGATATATAAATAAAAAAACTAAGATAATTAAAAATTTAAAGGGAAAATAACAAAAATGTAACTAAGTTGATTAAGGTGTACCTAATTAGAATTTGTGAAGTGGAAAAGAAATTTGAAAGAATGCTAAGTATATCATTTTTCTTTTTTAAAGAAAGATTTAAATATATCTTGAAAGAATATATTGTCATACACAGATGTGGAGACAAAATGCTACTAAAGTAGAATCCTAATCCCTAATTCTGCTTTACATAAACTTAAATTTTCTTTTTTAGGCAATAGCCTTTTCTCAGAGTGTAAATTATGAGGCAGTAGATGATTACCACAAGCTCCAGTAAGTATGACTTTTTAAAGAACTTTTAGACATATTACTTGGATTATAGGTATTACTTTATTTAAATGGCCTTATATCCTTTAAAATACCAAATTTCCTTTAAAAGTCTAGATATATATATATATATAGATATATATAGATATATATATCTATATATATATATATAATTAGTATTTAGCTGCATGAAAATATGGAATACTCCTTGTAGTTCAATGGAAGGTTCTCATTTGCCCTAGTGAAACGAATAAAACAGACTTGCATTAGTCAACTTTCTATTTGTAACAAAATACCTGAGGCAATTAACTCACAAAAAGAAAAGGTATATTTCAGCTCATTGTGCTGGAGGTTCAAGTCTGTGATTGAATGACCTCATTGCTTTTGAGACTCTAGCTTGCAGTATATCATGGCAGGAGCATGTGGTAGAACAAGCCTTTTAACACATGAGCAAGRCAACAAAGAAATCAGGGTACCCCCTTGAAATATGCCCCTCATGTCCTAGGGACCTCCAAAAAAGGTTGACTTTCTAAAGGTCCACTACCTCCAAATATTGTCTTTTTGGGAACCAAGCCTGTTAACACATGGTCCTTTGAGAGATATGTTATGGTTTGGATGTGCTGTACTCACATGTGAGACAGTGAAAGAAGGTTCAGAGGAATATTGATTGGGTTGTAAAATCTTAACCCAATCAGTGGTTTAATGCCCTTATTGATAGGGATTAACTGAGTGGTAATTGAAGGGGTAGGGTGTGGCTGGAGGAGGTGGGAATTGGGGTGAGACTTTGGGGATATATTTATATCTGGCAAGTGGGCTCTTTCTGCTTCCTGATCACCACATAAGCCACTTCCCTCTGCCACACTCTTCCACCATGATGTTTCTGTCTCACCTGGAGCCCTGAGGAATGGAGGCAGCTGTCAATGAATTGAGACCTCTGAAACCATGAGCCCTCAAATAAATGTTTCCTCTGCTACAATTGTGCTGGTCAGGTCTTTTAGTCACAGCAGCGAAAAAGCTAACTGAAACAGGATACTTAACCAAACTATAGCAAGGTTATTTTTTAGTTCAATAACTTCTAAGCATGTTTATCACTAATTCCCRTCTCAAAATCTCTTTATACTATCCTCAAGCAAAAACTGGAACTCTAATTATCACAAAGTCTTTTTAATTATAAATGAAGTCAATAAAACACCATCTTTGACTCTTATACAAGGTAGTCAAAGCACTTAATGTCTGGAGAATGACAACCAATTTGGAATTCTATGTGTAATAATCAGCTTTTTCATGACTATAACAAAATACCTGACACAGRTTACTTATGAAGAAGAGGTTTCTTTAGCTCACAGTTTTGAAAGCTGAAAGTCCAAATAGCATAGAGCAGGCTTGGCAAGAGCCGCTCATGCCTGTATCACTCCACAGCAGATAGCAATGGTAGGAGTGCATGCAGGAGCAAAGAGATTATATATTGAACAACAATCAGAGAAAGCTGGCAGGGTAGGAAGACCAGGCTTCTATTTATAACAATCCTTTCTGGAGAACTAACAAGGGTTCACATGAGATTTTCTGCATGCCACCAGTGACTAAGGACTTCCCACCAGGCCCCACCTCTTAAAAGTTCCACAGTGCCTTCCAATATTGCTCACAGACTAATCACATGAAACTTTGGGGGAAGAAGAACAAACAGCCATATCCAATTCCTGAAAATACTGTRCTGAAAATGACCAAATTAAATAAATAAATAATTCATACTAAATAATTATTTATAATTATTATATAATTCCAATCAAGTTTTTAAAAATAGTTTTAGCAAAACAATTTCTAAATCTAAAAAAAAAGGGTAAAAGTATATCCAAAGCATAGCACTGCATGAAGGYATTTTATAATTATCATTATGACCTGACTGTGTTTTTTAGAAAAATAGAATTTTTTCCCTAGGAAAAAGTCAGTTTTCTTTATTTCACTACTACTCCAAATGAGTTTGAGTCCCTGCTGTATACCCAGCACTCTCCAGGTATTCAAAATACATGGTAAACAAGGATGAAGTACTGGTATCACTGGAACATATCTCCAGTGGCAGAAGACAAACAGAAAGTCATCAAATAAATTAGGTCATTCCTATAATTTTTATTTATATAATTTATTATAAATAAAAGAAAACAAATTTCTAATACTGATAAATGTTATTATAAAGAAAAGAAAACAAAATAGTGAGATAATAACTTGGAAGGATAAGAAGAAAATGCTCTCTTAGACCCAGTATTCAGTAGAGGCTTAATTTATTACTTGCCCTTTTCCCCACTGGACTTTTCTTTTTATCCTTCAAATGTTTTTGGTTCTGTGAATTACGAGAATTAGATTCCAAGAGAATGCACATCAAACTGCCCAGGATATTTTGTTCTATTTTGTTTTTTCATTATTATTATTATTATTATTATTTCGGAATGTAAACCCTTAGCGGGGGGTAAGATATGAACCAATCTTTCAAAATGTCATTTTCTGTCATTCATGAGCCCTCACATTTGGCCTGAACACCAAAAGATTCATGTGTACTTGATGGTCAGATAAGACTTATATCTGACGTCCCTTTGTATTAGTCAGATCCTACTAGGCAACTTAATGTGATTCAGAAAGCTAAGTACTCTTTTTTGTCACAAAGGTGTTATCAGTTCAAGGGAAAACATATATAGGGGCTAGAGGAGGAATTGCTGCAGTGGCTACCATCTTGTAATATCATCGAAAGCAGGCAGGTCAAGATGTCACCCACATAACCCAAATGTCCAGTGACATTCATGGAATAAGGGGTGGGGATTTGAAGTGCTGACAGGATTCTCATTTGTTTCCCATTGTACCAACCATCTGGTGACTATAACATGGGTTACACCAAGAGATGGGAGCCACTTCATGATATGACCACATTTCAGAGCTGCCTGCACAGAAGCAGCCACCAGTTACCACTGGCACCACCCTCCAGGCTGTAAGGAGGTTCGGTCACATCATGTACATGGGACTTTGCATTTGCTATACAGAAAGACAGAGTCATGTTACCACATTCGTGATTCTTAATAATTTGCATGGATTGATTGTTTTTCTTAGAGAGGAGAACATGGGTATTGTGCTTATTCAACTTCGACCTAGTGAATATGCAAAAACGTGCCCAATAGCCCAAAAGGTAAGTGACAAAGGTTGAAGATCAAAAACTTTACTTCAAAAATGTGTAGGTGGTAAACTAAGTAATACAATAAGTCATATATATTACCTTCATAATGATACCACTCCCCTCTACTTAGCAACATTTTGCAATGTTTCACTATTAAGGCAGCATTATTTTATTTTATTTTTTTAATTTTGGCACACTTTTTTTTTAGTTGTAGTTGGATTCAATACCTTTATTTTGTTTATTATTTTAATGTGTTGCTGAGGATGGAACCCAGTACCTCACATGTGTTAGGTAAATACTCTATGGTTAAACCTTATTTTACTTTAAAAGCAAAAACACAATTTCTGCTTTCTATGAGTTTATCATCTAATGTAGGAAATATTAACATACACAAAAGTATAGAATTATTTTTTTGAAGTTTTGTAGATAAACTATGTAAAGGATAACTGAAATTAATGGGAATAAATAAAGTTGGGTATGGTTTGTCAAAGAAGTCTGCCCGTCATGTCCATATTTATCTTGCATTTAATCATTCAATGAAATTCAAGTATTTCTTCATTCAAAAACATCTATTATATACCTGTATTCTGTGTTTCACTCTGTGTGCTAGGTAATAGGAGTTACAAAGATGAAAATATAGAGTGCATTCCCTAGAGGTAGAGAATATGGTGTAACAGTTATCAAATAGCCCATGGGAAAGAGAACAATTTTGATTGGGAAGAGAAAGGTCAAAAGAAACCAATACATAAATGACTAAAATGACCATCAAGAGGGGCTAGGGTTGTTACTCAGTGGTAGAGCGTTTGCCTAGCACATGAGAGGGTTCRATCCTCAGCAACACATAAAAAATAAATGAATAAAATAAAGGTATTGTGTCCATCTACAACTAAAAAAAAAWTTTTTTAAATGACCATTGAGAATAAATTAAAACAACAGGACAAGGCAGAGCCATAATTATTATGAGGTTAAATATAAACGTCTCTCAGTTGAAGGAAGCTGCCAGCTGATGATTGGCTCACAGCAGCCCCAGCAACTTCTAGCTGCCAAGCCAATTGATTGGCTCCTCTGCGGTGATGCTCATTGGGCTGTTTCCCTGCCCTTTCAGACCATGGAGCTGCTCATTGGGGGACTTTTTTGACTCCGTCCACGCGACCCAGCCAATCGGCCTCAAGAGCAGGAGGAGTRGGGGAGGTTGAGAGGCTTGTAAGAAGCCAGTGGTGGCAGTTGGGCTCTGAAGGTTTTCCTGAGGAGCTGTTTTGTTTGGCGTGTGTGGTTCTAAAAATAAAGTTCGTTTCTTTTGACAAGTGGCTCCTGAATTGTGCCCAGCCAGGCTGCGGCCATACTAATAAAAGTCATGACTCCCTGACTGAAACATTGGCAGTTCTTCAGTTCTTATGAGTAAATCCAAAGAACACAGCACTCATCCATTTTATTCTCAAATCTTGCTGTCTTTTTAAGCTTTTTTTTTTTTTTTTTTTTGGTACTGGGTATTGAACCCAGGATCATTGAGCTGTGTCTCAGTCTTTTATTTTTTATTTTGAAATGGGGTCTCACTACTTAACCTGTATATTACTTTTTAAGCAACATAAATCTAAACATTTACTATTTGGGTAAGTCATTTGGCATTTTGAATGGTTTCTAAGGACATTTACCTAATGATAGAAAATAAATAGTCTTTCAACTTTAAATATAATGTGTACCAGCTGTTGGGTACAACCTCTCTTCTCAGCAAAGCCTCACAAAATTCTGATTTTCATATTCATTCTACTCTGCGCTTTCTGGAAAAAGATCAAATTTGTTAAAAGGAGATGTGAGCTATTGGTACTAACAGTAGGGGTGAATTTGGGCATAAGTGCAATACATCAGGGCCTAGTGGGTGGTGCATACCTGTAGTCCCAGCTACTTGGGAGGTTGTAGGACCATCACTTGAGTTCAGAAGACTAGCCTGGACAACATAGTGAAGCACTGTCTCAACACACACACACACACACTCCCCTCCTCCTCTCTCATCACATCAGACTCCGGTAGGGTTTTATTTGTTTGTTTTAATATTACCTTTTCCATATCACATACCTTCTTTGAGCATTTTTCAGTCTATGAAACAAGGCATCATGGTACAGCATGTCTACATGATGCCAATGTTGGATTTTTACACTTGCTTTTCTCCACAGAATCCCAAAGTTTACTTACAGGAAACATAGGTTATGTTAACAAAGCATCTCACAGTCCTGTGGCAGGCACTATATTAATTTTTTTATGTATTATGCTATAGTATCCACAAGTAGTTTGTTTCAAAAATGAAAGAGTGAAAATGGGCATTTCTTTTAAAAAAGCAGTTATGAATATGTTTAAGATAAATATCCACAGAACTAGATGGGGTTCATTAATAGTTGGCCTTTTGGCTCTGCTCCTCTGGATACAGAGTAGTGCTACTTAAATCAGGAATAACCAAGTTACATGATTCTACTCAATACCCTGAGAGGTAAATTTCTGGTTTACCAAAGTGAAAAGAATGTCAAATTAGTAGGCAGTTCAATTATAGAAAACTGGTAGCTGAGTCAAAGTGCAAGCTGAAAGTGTGGAGTTTGATAGTCTTGGTTGTAGAACTGCATGTAAAAGAAGAGATGGGATCAGCTCCCTGAGATACTAACATAAGAAAGTAGAGAACCAACTTTTGGGCTTTCTGAGCAATAAAGATGAAAAAAGAAAAAAAAAAACAGTGATCAAAGAAAAAGAAGGAAAACAGCACAGACCAGCATGTAACAGACCAATTAAAAGGTTATGAACAGGTTGAGCATCCCAAACTTAAAACCTTAAAATCTAAAATGTTCCAAAATCCAAAACTTTCTGAATGCTAACATGACAACTAGGAACAGAAAAATCCACACCAGATCTCACATGATGGGTCCAGTCAAAATGCAGGCATGATAAGAGCATTTTATAAAATCACTTCATGGTTAGACTTGGATCCCAACCCCCAAGATATTTTATGTTCATCCAACTATTCCAAAATCCATAAAGTCAGAGAACCAAAGCACTTACAGTGACAAGTATTCTAGCTAAGGAGTACTCAACCTGTATTCCAAATTTAAAATGTAACTGCTTTTAGTGGTGGTGATATCTCAGATCATGTAAATCAGAACAACTGAACTCACTACCTAACTTACTTCATTTTTAGGTGTTCCAAATAGCTGTTGGCTGCGATAATAATAAATTCATTGCAGTGAAAGGGCAAGTATATTTCCATTTGACCTGTCTTACTCTTTTAAGTTTTAAAGCAAATGGTGTACTGAATTGATAATTACTAGTGATAATATTAGCCTAATGACTGTCTATAATAAAATCTAAAGTAACACTGACATTGGTCTCCAGTTCCAATTGGTTTGAACTTATTTTCAAGTCAAATATTACATTTGAATCATACTCAAAAGGAAAAGAATTAATCTTTGTCTTTACTACCAGCATTTCTTCCCTTTTAATAAGCCAGTTTCTATCTTTTACCCCTACTTCTCTTGGCTCTTCAGTCCACAGCACATTTCCAGTTATTACTTCATTTTTTTAGGGAGTTGCTTACATCAATACCAGAGAAGCTCAGCTTCCCACACCAGGAAACTTTTTTAGAGCCAATTGAACAGAACCACCAGTATTGTTCCTATAGAGAATCTCAAGGAATGGATTTTGTTGACCTCACTATGGTTCACAATGAGACACGCTGTATTTTGTGTCTTCCATTATCATAGCTTTTTCTTTCACATGGGAGAAAATTAAGGTCAGTATGCACAAATATGAATGAAGTCAAACATATCATGGAGGCAGCAATTTGTTGTGATTCCTTTCCTTTGGTTAGGAGTGGAGGATCATTGACTCTTACGTGAGTTTTTATGAAATTACATGCTTTCAACCAAAATGAATGTCGACTCTTCCATCATTCTAATAATCACTTGATTTTTTACTGAATTGTAGTAATGACTTACTGGATTGAGTATTTCCTAATTCTGCATGTCTTAATACCTTTGCAACCATAATTTCTTTCCCAGGAAACACAAAAAGGCTAATTGATTTAGATACCCTTTACCCTCCTCAGTTCTGGTGTGGAATGTATGTTTGATCCTCAGAATATGGTGCATGGACCAGCATTGGCATCACCTGAACATCATTTAGAAATGCAGCAGTTCAGCCTTTATTCAGATTGTGGGTCACTACCTGTATTTTAGAAAAATATCCAGAAAAATAGTAGAGGAGTATTATAGTTCAAGAATAACTGCTATAAGCAGTGTATTACTAAAATCAATTTCTATACCATCACATGCAGAATTCCCTCTCAGACCCTTGATCTCCTTCTGCAGTGAAATGTAAAGCAGCTTGAACCAATCTATATCTGGGAGGATCCATATAGTAATTGTCAACCTTGATTGTTCATCAGAATCACCTAGAGAGCAGTTTTCCACCCACTGCCAGCACTGATTTTATTTCATGAAAACTCTGGTGCCCATTCAGGGACAGTCTCTGCTGTGCATATGACTGTATACATGCTCCTCCCCCAGACTTAGACACTTCCATTCCTATAAGTAGCTTTGGCAGAGCTCAGAAGTATTCATGGGTATAAGCTTTTTTCTTTCAAAAAACAGATGTTGGATTTGGCAAGATGGTGGGTCAGAGGAACCCACAATATTGTAGCAGGATCCCCAAGATTGAATTAAAATAGCAGTTCTGCAGCAGCAAAGTGAGGTAGAAGACTGTAGGAAAACACTGGTAGGCAACCCAAAGTGCTGGGTGAAAAGCAAAGAAATTGGTTTCCAGAACAGAACAAKAATTAATAAAAGCCACATAGTGGCAGCATCCAGCAAGCAGTGGTGTAGTSGGGGAGGGGAAGCTCCCCTTCCACAAGATGAAAGAAATTCTCCCACTGAGTTTAAGAAAAACAGGCACCACAGCTGTCCAGCACATTCTCAATAGGAGCAGAAAACAAATTCAGAAATGGTGAACTGAATAGGCACTGGAGAAAACCCTGGCACTCCCCAGCAGAGACAGTTAAAGCAGAAGTTGCAACAGCTTAAAAAGTCTCTTTTTCGGACCTCCCATGCAGCAGATTAGAATCCCTGAAATCTACCTTTGCTTTTCATATTTCACTCTCTAATTTTTTTCTCTTTCTTTATTTTACATGTTCATGGTACACTTGCTTTTTGAATACCCAATCATACAGTCATTTAGGCTCTACTGTTCATGGTAAGCCATGAATAAGTCTGGGCATGGGATACAGACTAGAGAGAAACTCAGGGCAGCGACAGCAGCTGCCAGTCTTTAGGTCTGCAGAGTGGAGAAGAGCTTTTGAAAATAGTAGTCTGAGCTCTGGAAGAAAGAGCATGGCTGAACTGAGACTGATCGAGTCAGATGGAAAGCAGTGACCCCCACACCACCTCCCCCAAGCTCAGATAGGGCTGGAGGATAAGCTGACACATCCCACACACCTCCTCCCAGCACATGGACTGAATGAAGTACTCAGAATGAGGGACATAACACAACCCAAATTGGTCTATAGGTGGAGCAGATGAGAGGGCTGGCTTATATCTCTGACAGGTTGTCATTCCCACCACCAGACACAATAACAAAGCCATTCTGAGGGGAAAATCTGCTTTGAAGTATCCACTATCATATTGACCAGCAAGAAGAGGGTGGAATTCAGCATGCAGATAATAAGTTTGGCTAGTTTAGGTCAGAAAAAAAAAAAACAGCATGGTATCTATATCTTACAAAATTCCTCATAGTTAGGAAATTCTAAAATCAAAACTGCAACTTGATCTGTTAAGATTGGTCTCCTAATCAGAATATACCAGAATACTGGACCAAAGGACTTTATATCTAAAGCTCCAACAAGAAGAAAACTGGRTCTATTGGAGTGGCACCCCCTCCTTCACAGAAAATCTTAATTAAGCTTCTTCAGAGACCCTCATCATAATTGTTCTTAGACTATCAGCAAGAATTTCTGCAAAAAAGTTCAAATGTGGTTAGGCTTCCTATTTCATGTTGCTTGATCTTGCAATAACTAAATTTGGCTGTGGCCCCAGAGGAGATCAGCACTCCAGATTCTGAGCACCYCTTACTAGTTTTTCACAACATTGGTAGGCTACCTAGTGTCATCAATTTTCTAGTCTAACACGACATATGATTTGATTGTTTGTAAAAGTTTACAACAGGGAAGTGTGTTTGTGTTTACAAAAGCMGAATGTGTAAGGGAGACTGTGGAGACCTCCAGCCTTGGGCTTGGAGCCTTCACAAGGGCATTTACACTTCAAAGGAAAGTAGTTAGATCCTAGGGAAAGTCCTTTACAATCTAAAAGGTAAGAGTGAATGGTGCTAATTAGGTTCCTTGAAAACCAGCTATGGGATGGGGGGAACCCTCCCTTTCCCAAGCACTAATTTTTGCAGAGAGTGTCCTTGGTTTATTTTTGTATTCAGGCCTGGGTTAGTTACCCACTACAGTAAAAAAAAAAAAAAAAAAAAAAAAACCTACCTTTATTTATGAAGGGAGGGAAAGCGAGGAAGAGAGTCGGGTAAGCTAGAAATGAAAGATGGAAACCAGGCGGAGATACACATGAGAGTTTATTTGTCAGAACTGACAAATAAAGAACATCTCTCTATAGGAGAGAGAGGCAAAACAGGCTTGGGTTCTGGGACTTTTATGGGGAGGCTCAGGAATCAGAGTCTGGTGGGTCCTAATGTGGTAGTTAAGGGTTGGATTGGTATGAGGGAGTGGTGAGCCCTTCTCAGAAACACCCTTGGGTGGGAAATCGAAACTTTTTCCTTAAGATGGCCATCCAGATGCTAAGCAAGGATCTTATAATGTAGATTTCTGCAAATTGCGAGCCTCTGAACCCCACCACACACACACACCACACACACACACACACACACACACACACACACACACACACACACTAGGTATGAAGTTCTAAAAATTTCTGGTGTAGAGGGATGAATTGATTTAGGCGAAAACTCCCCCCTCTGGACCAGCTGCAGTCAATAAACCTGCTTCCTGCTGATTCCTCGGTGTTCAGCCTCATCTGTCCTACATCACTATCTATGACAGAGATTACATTAACTGCTTGATAGTAACTGATTCCACAGTGACTTCCACATCTTATGTATTATCAAAGTTCTAATTTTATGTATTTTGTCAATTAACTGGATTCCCTCTCATAACCGCTTTTCTTCCTTCTTTTCCTTTTTCTTTTTCTTTAGACCTTCCTCCAATTCAGTTTTGTATACTATCATTGTTGCTTAATCCTCTCAGTCTGTTCTAAATTATTTCTCTCCCACTTTTCTCCCTGGTCAATGGAGTTGTAGATATCATTAGTAACAATTTTTACAGCATATGTTGATATATGATTTACTCTTAAATTAAAAAGTGGAATTGATGGTTGAAAATAGCACTTTATGCTGATCAGATGTGTTGAAGTGAAAATGTACACTAAGCCTGGGACTTAAGATAAAGAGATAACTGTTCATGAAGGGACCCCCCCCATACAAAAGAAGAGGAACACATCTCAACAGATGTGCAAATATAGGACCTCAGAAACATGCCTCCAAAAATTTATAATGTTCCCCCCTCAATAACTGAATGCACAGATGTTAATGTGGATAAAATGCCAAAGAATTCAAAAAGTTGATAGTTAAAATTATCATTGAATAAAAGAAGATTTAAGAAATAAACTAAAAAAGAAAATACACAAAGTGGAAGAGAAATTCAATAAAAAAGATAGAAATTCTGAAAAAGAACCAAACAGAAATCCTAGAAATGAAAGACTCAATAAATCAAGAAAACAAAAAGTTTAAAGTCTCACAATAGATTAGATCATGTCGAAGACAGAATTTCAGGTATTAATGACAAGGTATAGGGGCTGGGGTTGTGGCTCAGCAGTAGATCACTCGTCTAGCATGTTCAAGGCTCTGGGTTCGATCCTCAGCACCACATAAAAATAAATAACAAAGATATTGTGTCCAACTACAACTAATATATATATATATATATATATATATATATTTTTTTTTAAAGACAAGATATATGAACTTCAACATTCAATTGGCAATAAAGAAAATAATAATCTTTTATTAGAACATTATTAGAACAGAATGGGACAACATTCTGAGAACAAATTTAAGAACTACTGGAATCAAAAAGGAATCTGATACAGGCTTATGGCCTGGATAACCTTTCCAGGGAAATGATAATAACAGAAAAATTTCYAAACTTTGAGAATGAAGTGAACACATAGACACAAGAAACATTCAGAAGCTCAAGTAGACAAGATCAAAAAAGAACCTGTCTAGGACACATTATAATTAAAATGCCTAACATACAGAGAACAAGGATAGAATTTTTAAACTCATCAAGAGAAAAACATCAGGTCACATTTAGAACCCTAAAGCAAGCAGGAGTAAGTGGCAACTCTACAATCAGAATCTGATTTCTCAGCACAAACTCTAAAAATCCAAAAGGGCTTGTTACACATCAATCCAAAGCCTGAAAGAATATAACTACTGACCAAGATTGCTATATCCAGTAAAGCTGTCCTTCAGAATTGAAATAAAAACCTTCCAAGATAAGCATAAACTAAAAGAGTTCATGACTACTAAGCAAGCACTTCAAAATAAAATTAAAAAAACACTTGAAAATATTACACAGCAAGGAARTTAAAAACAAATTCCTGAGATTACAAATGAGAAACAGGACTGAATTAAACATTAGAAATTAATCAAAATGGTAGTAATTAATAAACAACTCTCTATAACACTGAATATAAATTATCTTACCTCTCTAATTAAGGCATTTATTATCGACTGACAGAGTAGGTTAAGAAAATAAGACTACATATTATTTGCAAGAGATTCATCTTAGAAACAAAGACAGTCACAGGCTGAAAGTGAAAGAATAGAAAATGATATTTAGAACCCCAAAGCAAGCAGGAGTAAGTGGCAAGTCTAATATCCAAGAAAGCAAACTTAAAGACTCAAGTTAATCAGAGGAGACAAAGGTACAATCCAAGAAGAAGATATAATAATGGTAAATATTTCTGCCCTGAATTTCAGTGCACCTCATTA